TTTTCCCACCTTCAGGAGCCGGTTCCTTTCTGCGGGATGCAGAGGACAGGCTGCAATCCCACCACAATGTAACTTTATAGCCGTGTTCCCTAAATGTCATTAATAATCAGGGACGTTGACTACAGAAGGGCAAGTTAAATCCTGTCATTGGAACAGCAAACAGCTTTAGTCAAATGTATTGGCAAAGGATTAAAAATGCATCAAGCATGTATTTGTCTTCTCTATGGGAAGCCCTTATTAATAGTCTGAAGAGTGGAAAGCTTCGTCCTTACACAATCAACACCATAGTCGTTTCTTTAAAAATATGTTTTAATGTGTGAAATTGCAGGATGCCGACGCTGCCATTAAAACCCCGCTCCGGTTCCAATAATTCCCCCACTTACGTTTCGTTCCTTTCCCTCACCCTCCTCCACCCGCATTAAAAAAAAAATTTTTTTTTCCTTCCGAAGCATATTTCACAGTGGTAAGGAGGAAGGCGAGGGTGAGGCTCCTGCCTCTGCTCCCCAGTGCTGCCTCTGCAGAGTGGAGGGGGGAGGGGAGGTGCTTCCTGCCGGGCATGCGCAGTAGGCCGGTTAAAGACCTCCCCCCCCCCTTCCTCCAGAGTAACCTAGACCCCTGTGGGATCCATCTTGTCGTTATGGGGGCACCTGCTGTATGCTTGGAAGTGAATCTGAGCGTTTTGCTACCTTCTTACAGCCCTGGTATGGCTGCCCCGGACTCCAGGCTCCTCAGCCTACAGGGACAGAACTCAGCTGGGCTCAGTTTCCCGTTTTGTGCACTCTCTCTGCTTCCCTCTCTCTGTCCTCTCTCACTGTGTCTTCTCTTTCTCCTCTCGTTTCTAATACTAGTTATGCTCCTGTTATTTCTGAGTTCCTACTGTGTGCCAGGGTCCCAAGCGAGAGAGCTAGGGCCTCTGCTTTGAAGACCCAACACCATTGCTCCTTGCCCAGGAGCCCAGATGCCACACGGCCATGGTGCCCTCTGTTCACCTGCACTGTGCAGGGAGGGGGCTTTTCACCTGAGATGTCACTCCATGCTTTTCTTCTCCAGGGCTGTGGCCCAGGCGAAGAGCTCCCTCTCCTACCTGGCACTCCCCACTCCCGGCTCATGTACCACACCGCCAATGTACTTGCTCATAGACTGTTATTGTCACATGCCCATGGGGTGAAAATCGATGCGATTTGAATTTCTCTTTCCCAGCCGGGTCTTTGGTAAATTGTTGTAGCGAGCTATTGATCTCTTATTGCAGCATGATTCTTAAAGCAGAATCAAGGTAAACGTAAGTCACACCGTGGTCTTCTTTACCAGATAACGCTTATCTAGACAAAGGAAGCCTCGGGGCTGCCGGCTCCTCTGCTCACCTCGGGGAGGAAGCTGAAAAGCACCTTTGCTAAAACAAAGCCAAACAAAAAGCTGTCGGTGCTGAACGGAAGGGAAAATTGCTTTCTTGTTTCTAATTTTGATTGAATCGCATCTGCCTGTCTCTGAACGGACTCGCCAAAGCAACAATAGGAAGCATTTAATGGTTCCTTTCACTTTTAAACACACAAGGTAGGGTTTTAAATAGTCGGGAGGCGATGACTAGACACACACAGACAGCTGATTTCCAGCTAGGATCCTGGGTGGGATGGAGCAATGTGCTTTTCATGAGAGCCCTCGCTTGGTGACAGCAGACCCAACCTTCTGCTGGGAGAGGATGGACCCCGAGTTGGTGACATGAAGCATCACGGATACCAATGTCCTCGGAGGCTGCTCTGGGCACTGGACCAAGCTCTAAGTGCTAAACTCACAATGAATCATTCAGTCCCTGCTTTCAAGGCCTCAGTGGTCAGAGCCCATTAAAAAGTTAGTGAAGCTCTGGACACAGGTCCTGGCATGGGTCTGTGTCACCTCCCAACTGTCACGGATCCAAATCTGTATCGAGTGAGGTTCTCTGGGAGCAGAATGGATAGGTGACACATGCCCACTTGTCTCTGTTCCCATCCTCATCCCGTTAAGTCTGAGAGGTCGAAGTTTAAGGAAACAGCTCATTATTGCTGGCACAATCAAATCTGTATTTTTTTTTTCTTTTGAGTTTTTCAAGACTGAGTGTCATTATGTAGCTCTGGCCTTCCTGGAACTCGCTCTATAGACCAGTCTGGCCTCGAACTCACAGAGGTCTACTTGCCTCTGCTTCCCAAGTGCGGGAATTAAAGGCAGTCACCACCAATGCCCAGCTGAGACAAGTGAATCAGAACTCTGCAGGCAGGCAAAGGATGTCACAATTCCAGCTTCAGAAAGACCATTCCAGAGTGTATGGACTAGAGTTAAGATATCTGAAACTCAGTGACAGCCCATGCTCGCTTTAGTCTGGTGCCCTGACTGAAGCCTTGGGCTTCAGTCTCTGCAACTAAAAAACAAAAAGAAGTCTAGAACCTCCGTCCCTCAGGGCCCTGAATGAGCTAGGTGCTGTCGTGGATGTCACAAGTGACCCATGAAAGTAAACTAGGCCACATGTCTCCATCAGTGGCAGAGGCAGTGAGCAGCTTGGCTTTGTCACTGTGGAGTCTGTTGGGTCCCCACTTACTCTGCAGTGACTGTCCTGTGAAAGGACAGTGTGGTGCAGGTTAGTGTCAGCTGGCATGGGAGAGCTGAGACTAAAGGGATTCTGGGTAGAATGGGAGTCTGTCTAGCTTCCCCGTGCCAGGTTGACCCACATCTCTCCCCACTTCACCATCCACCTCAGCTATGACTGTGTGTGGGAATTGAGCCTGTGAGGGCTCAGTGGGTAAAAGGCCTACTGTGCAAGCACGAGGACCTGGGTTTGGCTCCCAGCTCCTATGTGAGCTCAGGCAGGCGGTGTGCACCTGTAAACCTGGTGCTCGGGAGCTAGCGACAGGATCTCTAGGCTCAGCCTTACCTACTTGGTGGACTCCAGGTCATGGAGTGACCCTGTCTCAAAGAATAAGGTGACTGGCATGTGAATAAGAACACCAAAGTTTGCTCTCTGGCTTTCACATGAATGCATGTGCACATGCACCTGCATACTTGAACATACACACATACACACATGTGCACACATGTAAACACACATACACATGCACACATGCATGCACACACATACACACACATGCACACACATACACATGCACACACACATGTACACATGCATGCACACACACACACACACACACACACACACACACACGTACATGAGATCACCACTGGAGTGGCCCTAACCCAATGGGCTAGTGTCCTGTAAGAAAAGGAGACAACATAGACTGTGAAGTTGCACACAGGGAGAGGTGTCATGGACAAACCACAGGAGACTGGACCCTACTGACACCATGATCAACCTTGGACTTCCAGATGGTTTCAAACCTCACTGTCTGTGGTACTTAGTGTGGCAGCCCTGGCGAGCAAAGATTGCAGTATAGAGGGGGAGGGCTTCCAGAAATGCTCCTGGGGCTCCCCAGTTAGGTGAGACTGCTCCCCGTGTCTGGGGAAGGGTGGGTATTGGAGAGTCCTCCGTAGCACCACAGTACAGGACACAATGCCCAGGTCAGCCTGACTCAATGCCTGCTTTCTTCCCACTACCTCAGCTTGCAGGCTGCCCCTGGCCTGGGACGGGGGCTCTGTCTGCCTGCCTCCCAGCCTGCTGACTGGAGCTGGCTTCCTACTGTAATTCTGGTGGCTCAAAGGCCTCTCTGAGTCCTTGTGACCACTTTGGGGCCCTTTAAGGACCTTCTCCTGGGCTTCCCGCTGCTGTAGAACAAACAAGAAACCTGCTGTGGCAGCCAGTCGACTCCTTAATTAAGCAGTGCAAATGTCAAAAAAAAAAAAAAAAAGGTGTGAAAGCCGCCGGTGTGGTTATCTAACTCCCCTCAGCCCTCCCCTCTCGCTGGCTGTTATGACAGTATTGCAGTTGCTAGGAGCCTAGGAGCCCGGAGGAAGTTAGTGGAGATTCATCCTGAAGGCTTGGCTCCTGCATGAACCGGTCCCTAAAGCAGTGTCCCTCAGCCTTCCCAATGCTGTGACCCTTTAACACCGTCTCTCACGTCGTGGTGACCCCGAACAGTAAAGGTATTTTCACTTCTACTTTGTAACTGTAATTTTGCTACTGTTATGAACAGGCTGTAACTGTCTGATTTTTTTCCAATGGCTTTAGGCGACCCCTGTGAAAGGATCACCGACCTCACCCCACCCCCATAAAAGGGTTGTGAGCCACAGGTTGAGAACCACAGCCCTAAAGGATATATCTATCTCCAAGTCACTGCCTGTTTCTGGCTCACAGGACAGGTTTGAGTGTCTTGACTCTCCCTAGCTGTGCAGTTTTAGAGGTCGATTTCTCCATGCCATGGTTTGCTCATGTGTAAATAGGGCTCACAATAAAACTGTCTCAAAAGTGGGTGGGGGGCTCACAAGACAGAATTGTTTGAGAATCTTTAGCAGTTTGCTGCAGAGTCCTGGAGCTTTTTCCGCCCTTTTCTGTGTTTCCACTCAGGGCGCCCACGCCCACCATTCCGGGGCTCAGCCCAGCATCTGATTGGTCCCAGTTCACACCTGGCTCTGTGTACCCTCCATGCCACATGGGCTTGCTCTTTTGTGTCGTATTCTTTTCAACTCCCAAACGACAGGTTGGCACTCTGAGGTCCAGGGCCTGCTACCTACCCTAGGACTGACTGTCTTAAGTCACTGTGCACACTAGTGGTTTTCAGAACCTGTCCCTCGGAAGTCAGAAACCCCCAAAGCTCACTGGTGGATTTATCTAGGGCCGTAAAGCTTTTTAAGATTACCACATCGCACACCCAGGACTCTGTAGCCGTGGGGCCACACTCGCTGACGACCGTCTCTCCACACCCGTCACCTACTTATGTGAAGCATTCATCAGGTAGTCATTTGGGGACCCTCTGATAGCAAGAGCGAATCAATACCATGGAGCCCTTAGCCTGGCGTCGGCTCACGATCAGTAGGTTCCTGAGGACACTGAGGAAGAGGCGGATCCCCACAGCCATGGAGTAAGTGCATCAGATCTGGAGTGCTCGCGGACTCTCAGAATCCAGCTCTCACCGTGGACCTTCCAAATCATGGCCATCAACCCTCTACTGTGAGATGTGGGAAAATCTGGGCACAGACAGACCTGGGGATACAGAAAGGCCTGTCTGGGTCCTCACTCAGCTCGCTGCCTTTCATCAATGTTTCTGGGCTTCAGTTCTTCATGTGTAGAATAGACAGCGCTTGCTTTCTAGAGGACTCAATGGGGCTGTTTCCCTTCTCTCTCTTCGAGGATTCTGAGGTATCTTAGCATCCTCACTTGGGTAAGTGAGATACTCGCTAGTCCATCCTCCAGCCTGGAGTCTGAATTTGTTCTATCTTCACCCACATCTTCGTCCTCTGGCCCTTACTGACTATGTTAAGGAGTGTGGTTCAGATGGCAGAGGTTATATGTATACCCAGCAGCTGTGAGGAGCAGAGGTCGGAGGGAGCAACATCAGAACCGTGGGGGTGAGTCAGCATTGGAACAACGTTCTGAAGAGTGTCATGATGTCAGAGGAGTGTCATAGTGGCCTAAGCCCCTCTTCCTCTCCCCCCTCTTCACACCCATCCCTTCTTTCTCCTCCTCTTCAGGATGAGGTTAAAGTTGGAGGCTGTAGAAGACAGATCTCAGGGGGTTCTGAGTGTGGGTGGGAAAGAGAAAAGATCAAATTAAAAAAGGATCAAAGTATCAATTCACATCTCAAGACTAGGCAGTACTTTGGGAAGGATGCAGTCAGAATGGGCATCTCTGTAAGCCCCCCAGTGTCAGAGTTCCTATTGACCTTGACTTTGCCTCTCTGTAGTTGACAGAAGCATTTAGTGTCCCTTTAGGGTTCTTTCTAGACCCATCTGTCCCTCTAAACACTCAGTAGACAAATGTCTAATCTTTACTTCAGGCAACAGTCTCCAACTTGCCTCTCTTCCCTTCCCTTTCAGCAGACAATTAGAGGAGTTGGCAGGGGAAGGGCACCCAGGGGCATGTAGAGTTGTTCTCACTCTGAGAACTTAGAGATGAGCCCTCAATGCTGTCTGGCTTCTGTCTTCCTGATGCCTTCCTTCCTTCCATTGAATAGACTGGGTTTCATTGTCTCTAAGCTATTGCAATCCACCTGGTTCTTTTGGAGCTCAGTGTAGGTCTGCCGAGGCCAGGATCCAGTAGGCAGAGGTTCTTTGGGGCAGGGATGTGGAATGGGGTCTAGACCTTCGCAGGTGTCTGTGGAGTAAGAACAGATCACCATGTTCACTGTCCCGTGGCTGTGCAATTGGGGAGGCTTTACGCATTCTACCCAGATAAGAAACCCGAGGGACATAGAAGGGCACACAACCATGCCAAAGACACATGCTTGCATGTGGACTAGGGGTGCAATGGCCTCACAGTTGGCCCATCCTACCACTGTCTGGGGTTCAGAGGGGTATCTGGCATGTTTCAGGCAAGCAGAGGGTCAAGTGCTAGAGGCTCAGCTATGGCTCTGGCTAGGGTGGGGTAGAAATGGAAAACCACTCTAAATGTCCCTCAGGACAGTATAGCCAGGGAGCCTTCCAAAAGTCAGTGTACCAGAGTGAATAACAAGGCAATGGTGAGACCACATGTCACCGTAAAGAGCTGTTTGTCCTCTATTCTGAGACAGATCTGTGGCTGCCCTACAACTACGGTGCCCAAATGTTTTCTTCAGTAGCTCAAACGGCCCTACAGGAAGGGGCTGTTTTGACACTATCAGAGACTCAGTTAACAACAGAAGAGAACAATGTTTTCTTTTATGAAGCAAGGGTAAGAATAGATAATTCTTGCATTTTATCTTTACGTTTTGGTCAATTGAAAAGCAGGCAATTCAGTGATGATTTTTATATATCTGCCAATATCTATCTATCTATCTACTATCTATCTATCATCTATCTATCTATCTTGCTATCCATCTATCTATCTATCTATCTATCTATCTATCTATCTATCTATCTATCTATCTTGCTATCCATCCATCCATTCATCCAGTCTCTGTAAATTTACCCATCTATCTCTTTTTCCCTTTCTACCGTCTGATTTTCCTATGCCGCCTTTAAACATTTGTATATCTGTGGCATCCACAGGCCTGCATCTTACTGATCCAGCTATCTCCAGGATATTCCATGAGTCAGAGGCACCCCACTCCCTCCAGGGACTGACACCCCAAAGTGCTTGTGTTCCTGGCTCTGCCTTGGATATCATGTAGGTGGTCTTCCTTCTCTGAGCCTCATTTGCTCCTCTGCAAACTGAACTGACTGACTCTGCCTTACGAGCCTCATTGTGACACTGGGGTCAGCCAGGGTCCTGTGTGGGTGAGGAAGGGATCTAGAACAACAGGGGTGCTCTACCCATGGGGTGTATTCATGAATGCATTGATGAACTCAGCTGGCCAAGCTGCAGGGCCCTCCTATGGCTTGTCCAACACTGGAGTTCTGGGGAGTCTGAGGGCAGGGCAGTCCAGTCTTAGCTCTGCAGTTTCAAAGGGATGCTAATAAACAAATGTCCTCCTTGGGTTGTGGAGGGAACAGTGGAGGAGCAGGCAGAAGAAGGTACCTGGCATCTCTATTCCTGGCTGTTCCTAGAGACTAGAGATTGCTCAGAGGGTCAGAAGTGTGGGTCCCTGGGGTAGGCCATGATTTAAACACAATCATGAGATTTCTTGCTGTAATGGATGGACAGCAGCTTCTCTAGAGCAGAGAGTAGTCCTGAGCTGGAGACCACACTGTCTCTAGTACTCTGAAAATGGGCTTCAGTGTCCAGCAGGTAGGTTTGTCCATGTGTGTATGGAACTCGTGTTCTGGTCCCTTTCACACGATCTACCTGATAGGCTGCGTGGCAGGTATGTTCCACTCTCCAGAAGTGCCCTGGGGATTTGGAAGGAAGCAGGGACTTGCCCGGGCCCCCAGGTGGTTAGTGCTGGGACATTTAGAGCCTTCTTTTCCTCTTCCCCCCTTCCCATGCCATAGGCTTCTCCTTCCTCATGTGCTCGCCACCCACGCTGCTGAATGTTCTCACGACCTGTCACCTCAACCGGCGACTGTTGACCTTGGTGTCCATTCTGAAGAAGATGGCAGTGCAGAATACAGGCTGGGGACTTACTGCCAGCTCTACCCAACCTGTGGCCCCAGGAATGCTTGCTTTCTGCCACCATGAAGTGGACAGTAACGGTGGCTCTCCCTCATCCAGTTGATGGGAGAGCCACCCCTGTAAACAGCATGTGTCAGGACATGTTGCCTTTCACTGTGTGTGGAAGGGCAGCATCAGGGGGAATGTCACCACTGATATTCCACAGAGTGTATGTGTGTGTGTATGTGTGTGTGTATGTGTGTGTGTGTGTGTTGGTGAGCTTGCCAGTATTTTTCCCAAATGGAAATGTTAGACACAAAGCCCAACAAATCAGAAAAAAAGGGAACTTGACTTAAAAAAAAATAAAAGCAATAAAATTTAGCATCTGAAGTTGTTCAGTGACAGATATTCTGAGTTCAACCTCTTTGAACCGGGGAAGGAGTGGCTGGGAGCATTGGAGGGAGACTCAGATTCAAATGAACAGGGCTCTATTTCAGCTTAGTCGTCGGGTGTATGGGGTCCTTTTTTTTTTTAAAGAATATAAATTCCAACCATGTTTTGTGTGAAGGGTCTCAGTGCATACTGACATTGTGAGTGTCAGCCCCAGATCACTTTAATCAGAGAGTGGATATGCATGATAAAACGGATAAGGGACTTTAATCAAAAAATCCGCTGGCCTGGAAACGTGACGCACTCCGCCAAACACACTTCATCCCACATTCCTTGTGCCTCTGCCAAGATTCTATTTCATGAATATGCATTTGACATGATATTACATTAAAATGTGACATTGGTGTACGGGGTGGGGGAATTTAAAATCACAGCCCCCACCACATATGTGTGTATCTGTGCACATGCATGCACATGCCCACACCCCATGTACACACGGACCCTCATACCTGTATATAGCTACCTACTTTGCAAAGTTCCTGTCAATTGGATGTTAAGGTAGCAACGCGATTCCCCCCCACCATGCATCCTTGAGTGCTGAATATTGGATTTCTAAGCCGTTCCGTCCTTGTGAGAAGCTAACCATAGTAGGCAGGGGGTTTTGTGTCAGCTCTACCCAGGAATGCCCTGTGCCATTTCCAGCGAGGGTCACATCTCTGCACACATAACACTCATCTGGGAGAGGGCACAGGCTGCTGAACCGGTGACTTGTTTCTATTTCAAGGAATTAATTCTGAGCGCACTGAAGAGGCAGCTGTAAGCCTCCCTCACTTCAGCGACACTGGGATTTTCTTAGAAACAAGGCCAGGGGACCCTGGTGGAACTGTGGGCAGCTCTCCTGAGAAGACGCAGGCTGGTCCTTCAGCTTGCCTCAGTCTCTCCTGTCCTTTTCCCTTCCCTCCCTTCCTCTACTCTCCCCCTCCTCTCCTCTCCCCTCCTCCCTCCCCTTCTTTCCCTTCTCATCCTCTCCCCTCACTTCCTCCCCTCTTCTCCCTTCCCCTCCCCTCCTCCCCTCTCCTCTCTTTTCCTCTCCTCTCCTCTCTTCTGTCGACTTTCCCCACCTCTGTCTCCACAGAGTCTGCAAATATTTGAGAATTTATCAAAAATATTACCGTGGCATAAAAAACTAAGCAACTTCAGGAACGCACATGTGTTGCACTGATGAATGTTGAAGACACCATCAGATCTTGTCCCACATCTCACGGAGCCTCTCCCGTGGATGGTGTTTGGCAAACACAGATCCCTCTAGAGCAGTGCTTCTCAACCTTCCTAACACTGTGACCCTGTAATACAGTTCTCCATGTTGTGGTGACCCCCAACCGTAAAATTATTTTCACTGCTACTTCAGAACTGTCATTTTGCCACTGCTATGAGTCGTAATGTAAATATCTGTGTTTTGCGATGATTTCAGGGGTTGTGACTCACGGGTTGAGAACCACTGGTTATCAGAGGACGAAAGGCTCCACAATGGTGTTTGCTTAGAAATGGGCTGTGCGTTTGACTCCCCACTGAGCTGGGGGTCTCTGGCCGCCCTGGGGCAATGCTGGTGGCAAATGGCTAGGATTGGTACTTGCTGGACATTTCAGCTGTGAGGATACAGTGTGATGTTTCTGGGCTGTCACCAGGGGCTCTCAACCCGTCAAATCTCTTTCATCCAGAGTGGACCCGCGAGTGTGTAGTGTGTAGCATTATGTCCTTCCACAGATGCAATCCACACCCACGCAGGACCTCAGAGCACGGCCTTCCCAGGATGGAAGCAGGGTGGTGGGAGATGGGATTGTTTAAGGTCATGCAGACAGATCCATCCTGGATTTAGGGTGTGCTTGTAAAAGACACAGGGAGGGGGCATCCCCCAGATGACGATGATAGACCGCAGATGCTGGACGTGTTCTGGACCGCCTGGCCATCAGGCTTTGGAGGAGGGAAGGCCACACTCAAGAGGCTTCTCAATGAGACCAGCCTCATTGTCTCCTTGATTTGTTTTCCAGCCAACAGATGTAGCACATAGTCCCAGCCTCTAATGCAGACCCTGTACAGAGAGAAGGGAGCTCAGGGTTCCTTTACAGTCCATGCTTTGATGCTCATGGGTTTCAGGTCGGGTGGGGCAGGGTGCTGGACTGCTCCCCCATCTGCAGACCCTGCACATCACAGTGTTCTCCTTAGTGAGGCACAGGAAGACGGCTTTGCCTCAGCTCTCCTGACTCTGCTCACAGGGGAGGATACAGTCTGAGTCAAGTGAAGGCCACCAAGCCAAACAAACAGTAGACAATGGACAGCAGAGAGTTGGCTCCTCCTGGAGGCCTCCGGCACAGAGGGTCCTGCAGAGTGACATAGCTGCTTCGCCTCTCTTATCTGACAGCGGGAGGTGTGGGTACTGGTTGGGTGGAGTGGGAGGCAGGGAAGTGGTGCCTGGAGGTCAGAGATGCTTGTCACGCCCCAGAAGAACTTGTCACTGGTGGGAAGATGGCTGTGGAGTGGAAGGAGATCAAGGAAGAAGAGGTAGGGTCAAGCACCATGCCTCTGTCGAGACATAGGTCACCTGACTGGTCTGGCTTTGCTCAGAAATCTCTGGGATGGATGCTTGTGAAGCTTCTAGACCATTCTAGATCAGCGACTTATAAGTCAGAGTTGTGGCTAGTATTCACTTCTGGTACCAGCTGCTCCATCCTCTGTCGAGAAGATGTGTGGTCTCTAGAGTCGCGTGTATGGAAGGTCCTGTTAGGGCCACCCTGCGGCTGGCCACACGGGCAGCATGGTCTGGGGCTTGTCCATCCCACTGAGCCCCATTTGAGAAATGTGTGCAATGCAGGGTTTGGGGGAGCAGAAATGAGGGTGATAACTCATTTGACAAGCCCAGGAAACTTCATATTTCATCAGAACTCTTGTTCAGAGCTGATTTTCTCTCCCCTCCGTCCTCCTCCTCTCCTTCCACCTCTCCCATCATTCTGTCTACCCTTTCCTCTCTTTTATCCCCCTCTCTCCATCTCCCCTCCCTTCCTCTCCTCTCCCCTCCCTCCCTCTCTCCCTCCTCTCCCTCCCCCTCTGTCCCTCCTTCTCTCCCTCCCCCTCTCTCCCTCTCTTTCCTCTCCTTCCAGCCCCCCTCTCTTGTCCCCACCACCCCATTATAAGCTATTTTGGCTCAACTCTGTTTTTTCATCCAAGTTAGAATCTGGCTGCAAATAAGCCTCATTCGAGGCCAAGACTGAAAAAAAACCAAAATGCAAAATGTTGACAATTCATAGATACGCGTCCATCAAAGCACATTCTCCATCAACAACATTCCCAAGTCGCTTCTCTGTAAAACTACAATTCAGCAATCTTGGATCTTCTATGGTGATCGGATGACACTAGGATGACAGACAGACAGACAGACAGACCAGAGGAGTCTGCATATCCAGGTTGCAAAGCCTTTGAGTTGCCTTTAGGGACTTGCTGACACGGGGAAATCTCTCTTTTTTATGGACTGACTTCTATTAATCAGTCCCTAAATTGGTGTTCCTCTCTTCCTCTCTTGTTCCTTTCCCTCCCTCCCTCCCTCCCTCCCCCCCTCCCTCCCCCCCTCTCTCTCCTCTTCATTCCTCTCCCTTTTTCTTTGCGTTCCGTCCAGCACCCCCC